AAGCACAGCTGTGAACTCAATCAGTCTGTCGTTCAGAAGTTACAAAATCACTAACAGTCGCGCTAATTATTATATTGTAGTAGGCGTGCGCGCGACTTCGTTCGCATTGAACCGTTTACTCGGAATATAGAAAGACAAGTAAATTAGTAATTTGTTTGGATTGAACCTTCATTACATTGGTCCCAATTTTAATTTTATAAACTTCACTACTATTACAGCTTCAATTGTACATTTAATATGTTTTAAGGTGTATTAGTTAATATACTTTTAAGGTGTAATTTCATTTCATAATAAAAACTAATCATGACATCAACACCGAGGGTTCTGCGCAATTATACAATTAAAAAACTTAGTACCGTAAATATGTCCTAAAAAAATATGTAAAAAGAAATAAAAAAGTGGTTAACAAAAATTACTCAAATATTAAAAAAAAAAGAGTTTCTTGCATTGCGAATTTCAATAATAAAGAGAGAACAAAATACGTTTGTCGTTTATTGATTATGTTTTGTTTTATATAAGAGGGGGCAAACGATCATGCAGCTTACCTGATGGTAACTCCCGTCGCCCATGAATAACTGCAACACCACGGGAATTCCATGTGCATTGCCTTTAGAAATAGAGTATACTGTTGTCATAAAGGTCGTATAGACTTTTCATGAAGGTTGTATGAGTTCGGAAAATTGCTGGTCTGCCGCTGGTGGTTGCAATTGTTGGATTCCACAAAGATATTGTGCGAGGAAGAAAACGTCTCGTATGTCGCACTGTGGAGACCCGCGAATAATACGGATTTTAAATGTATTATGGATGGTATCGCCAATTTCGTCGCAAAATGCCATACTGAATTTTTTGGAACTGGTACTTCCCCTGGTAGATGCAATAGAATATACAAAGGGATGCAACATATCACCGCAGCGCCAGTGAGTCAAGCCAATCAGAAGGAACCCGATCGTCGACAATTCGGGTCGCCTTTTTTTTGTTATAATTGGAAAAATCATACATAAGTTTTATAACGAAATTATAATTATTTTTCGATTATCGGTTTTTTACGTCCGTGGTTTGATTAGGTACAGTTTTTTTTTACAGAAAACCATTTTAGTATTTTTCTAGGAAAAGTAAGTAAGTAGTAGGAAAAGTGTCTTAAAAAGGATTTGGATGAAATTTTGTCTTAGATAATTGCTGAAACTCTTTTTGACCGTTATTGACTAAAACTGTTGTGCTTTACAAGTTTTTATGGATATGTGCAATCCCAGAATAATTACATCCTATATTTTTAATGCCGAAACAAACTCGAAATACTTTTAATTCTGAAGAACATAGTAATTCATAAATGACATTTTTTATTCAAAGACAAGAATAAAACCAGTAGGCACACATTTAGTTTTATCTGTGAACCTGAAAATTTTTAACAAAATCGCAAAGTTATTCAAGTTGACATTAATAATATTATTTAAGAATATATAAACCCTATTAAATAAATAGGATTCTATTAAATATTTACTCGGGCAGCATAGAAGTATATTAAAAATTCTCAGACTTAAAATATAAAAACGGGCGGCTATAATTAAAATATTTTGCTATTATCGCTGCCCTTGTCGAAATAATTCAGAGTGCTGAAATTATAACCAACCTACTTTTATGACTCACTTGAGAACAATCAACAGGCTCTGGAAAAAAATCGAAATGTCTTAGACGAGAAATTTTGCTTATTGCTTAAAACAAACTTATTTTTATTTTAAAGATACCATCATCTTTAACCGGCCATGGAAACGGCAGGACAGGGGGTGCTAAGAATCTCTAAAGAAGCACTAAGCTCGAAGTTGTTGAGAGTATGTTTACCTGAAGCAACTAAGTAAGTCCAGCTTCGATTGAGAGGTCAATCTACGGATTCAACTGGACTAGGCAGCGTTCAGGAGATTACAACACATCTTCTCGTCAGGCATACCTCAAACGCTCATAACTAGATTGTACAACCAGTGCGTGTTACCAGTGATGACCTATGGATCTGAGACGTGGTCATTCACTGCTGGCCGTATGAGGAAGTTCAAGACCGATCGACCTATGGAGAAGGCTATGCTTGGAGTTTCTCTGCGTGATAAACTTAGGAATGAGGATATACATAGAAGATTAGTACAGAACAGTAAATAGTAACCGACATAGCCTAACGGCTAAGTAAGCTGAAGTGAAGTGGGCCGCTTATAGCTCCAAGAAAGTACCGTACAAGAAGTGAGGCTACAAGATGGAGTGACGACCTGGTAAGACATACAGGAAGTCGATGGATGCAGGTGGCTTAGGACCGTGCATGGAGGCATTCCTTGGGGAAGGCCTATGTTCAGCAGTGGACTTGTGAAGGGCTGTAATGGTGAATGATGACATCATCTTTATCAAGGTCATCATCACAGCTCTTCTCAAGCCATAAAACACGGTCTTGACCAACCTGATTTCATCGAATTCAAAGTCTATCACGCAGAAAAACTCCGAGCAAAGCCCTTTCCACAACTCACTCAGCGAACTTGAGCTTTTTTATGCGGCCTGCAGTAAGGAGGGACCATTTCTCTGATCTATATGTTATCTCTGGCAACGCGTGAGTGTTCTATCAGTGTAGTACATACTTGTTTTCAATGTGTCGTAATATTCAGAACGCTGCGCAGCCGAGTAGTATACATCGATTTACCGAATGGGTGTAGTTACCTAGTCGGACAATTTACCATAGATAAATATACTCGTTGACCACTTCGATAGTATTCCCAAAGACTACCGGCATAGGTGTAACAGGGATGTTACGCCACATAACCTTTGTCTCGTCCTTGTTAATTTTAAGAATCCGTTGGGCTACACTTTTTAGGCATCGAGTCGAGTGGCTGAAAGTCGTTCAATTTCTATTAAATATATTATTATTATTAAATATATGCCTGCGTTCGAGACATTTTGCAAAGACTCGAAAACAGTATGTAGCATGCGCACCTCAGAAGAAAATTCAGACTGTAATTCTTGAATAGGGCGTCATCGCCTTTCTTAAAAAACAAGATCACCTCTTTCGTAACTACATGCATCCATGGAATTTTGAAAATTCATTTGTGACTTTAGAGAGACAGTGGGGTACTGCAATTTTAAAGCATTTTTTAGAAAGACGTGAAATAATATTATGCTCAAAATAAAAATTTAAAAATTTTAAACGGTGCTTCATTTTTTAATTCCTATTCAAAAAATATTTTTAGATCATTATTAATGACAAGGCACATCAATATGAGAAGATGCGGTTTATTAAATAAACATTATCTTATAAATAATATTTAGACCTAATACCTATCACACAATATGTAAAAAATCCATATCCGATTAAATGTAATTTAAGAAAATATTATAAAATAAAAAAGTATTAATTGTTTATGATAGATTTTGTGTAAGATACATCAAAACGCTTAATTTTTCAAATTCTTTTAAACTTTTTACCATCCATTAAACAGCCTATAAAATTCAAGTGCAATGCTGCTAGCTATATTAAGTAATACGTCGATTTTTCCCAACAAGTTTTTCAATTACTCGCACTATTTCTTGAGTGACCGCGGTTGGCGGCCGAGTTGTTTTAGCATCACCTTAAGAAGCTCTCCATCCTCCTTTAAATTCAGTTAATAAATTAAAAACTACTGTAATAAGCAGACTTGCAGGAAAACGGGCAAATATTTAAAACATTATTGGGAGCTTTAAACTTCTTTAAAAGCCTTTTATTTAACTTGCAATGTTTGTGTTTGTGTCAAATCTTGCAACTGAATTTTAAAGTAGTTATCATAAACCGATTGAGCTGAAATTTTGCATACATGTTTAGTTTGGATGACGCAATGTATGGTTAAGTGACGTCATTCCAAATACAATATGGCGGACCGCCCAAGATACGACTACAAGGACTAGTTATTTTTATACACTCCCTTGAAATAGGTATTAAATGAAAGGATTTACTGAGAATATGAAAAATAAAATGACGTCACTCTAAATCCAATATGGCGGACAGCCCAAAATGGCGGACTAGTTAATTTTTATGCACTCTCATGATACCTGCGTTCATATAAACAAGTATACAATATGTAACTTGATATTGACATTAGTAGGTAACTAAAAAAATATATTTTTATGAAACAGGTAAATCTCGCGACTAGCTTTTATATCATATAAATTGTGTAATTTACTAAAGTTTATTTTTATTAAGCAAAAGCTTGTTTTAAAAATGTCTTTACTATGAATTTATTTACAGTCGAAATAATTTATAATGCAAAAATCACCTCGTTTGATTGAGCTCTATTGCTGTAAACTCAATTCCAACAGTTTTACACGATTAAAGCATTGTTCTAATAATAATAAAATTAAAAATAAGTGCTACATTTTATAAATTAACGTAATATTACGAACACTACACATTGATTAAAACTACTTTTACGGATTTTATCGCGTTTATTTTACTATTATTTTTAATTCCCGACGTTTCGGGCGCTTCCAGCACCCATGGTCAACGCGATAAAATCCGTAAAAGTAGTTTTAATCAATTGTGTAGTGTTCGCGTAAATATAAGAAATCATTAAGTAAATATCTTTTAATAGTTAGTTTGTTAATAAAGTTTTTACGATTACCGTATACGAATACATGGTAGAGCACGCTGCAGCTATATTAGTTGTAGCACGAATGGGTTGACTCAACCGGGGTTGGATAGGACCATGCTCTCACAAAATACCAGAGTAAAATAGCGGTTTAAGGCTGCTGTATTTCGTATGGTGAGTGTAGAGAACCGGAGACCCTTTTTACTGGAAACGAGGCATTCCATATTAGTCCTCAGGGGTGATAACGCATTTGCATTTTGAGTCTTAACTAACCATCACCATCAGGTGGACTGTGTGCTCCTTATTAACCATTTTTCTATAAACAAGCGTTCTCAACTAATGAAATTGATAGCATTTTTTTCGCGCCACAATAGGGTATATGGTATAAGTAAGTAAGGGATATGTAATACCTACCCACAATTCATACATGTTTTCTAATTTTAACTTCATAAAAGAAGGGCGCGACATTTGACACGTATATTTTTTTTAAACGGAAACGTCGAAACCGATTTATAAGATTATTTTAATTCTTCTTTAACTGCCTCGTTGGTCTAGTGGTTGTAGTAGCGCGACTGCTGATCCTGGGTTCTAACCTAGGTCGGGCCAAAAAAACATTTATTATTGAGTTTTCCGTCAAGAAATTTCAGTAGCTGCACGGAGTTTGGAAGTTGGCGGTGTCTCACCTCCGTGCCTCGTAAAACACGTAAAGCCAATGGTCCTGCGCCTGATCTCTCTCCGGTCGTGTCGGTTTACCGTCCCATTGGATTATAGGAGTGAGGGAATAGAGTACACCTGTGCTTGTGCATACACTTGGGCACTATAATCTTGTCATGCGCCGATGGCTAGTCTCCGTTTAGACAGGCCGCCGCGACCGAAATTCGGTTGGGAGGACATTATTTTTATTATTCTTTAGGAGTGATCCTTTATTTTTAGACTGCTCGCCTATGTTATTTAATGACCACATGCTATGACAGTTTTTACATAATGTCCCGCTGAGACAAGCTAATATTTTGTCCCAAGTATCGATATCCTCATGGTGCGCGCAATTCTAAGCTTGTCATTGCCCGACCTGAAGTTTATCAGTCTGTCGATGAGGAGTCTTGCCTTTGCCATACGGTCCTCGATCCTTATTCTCCAGGCTTGCTTGAAACTACTTTACCCATTAGCGCATCCAGCCGTGGAAAGTTCGGCGTCAATAATAGGACCATATCGCAAAGGTCCTTGCCAGGCTCGAAATAAGATCCAGCATGGGCTTCAGAACCCTCACGGAAGCCCGATTACGCTTGCTTGCGGGGAAGCCGCGGTCGAATTCCGAGACGTACTGCGCGTTTCTATAATCGCTTTATTTAAAGTGTTATTCTTTTGCTCTAGCTCTAGTTCATGGGCGACTATTCCGTCATCGTCGAAACCACAACTGGAAGATCCGCGGCGGCACCCACGATTGCTGTTTGTTTTGTAACGTAGAACTTAACTCTTTAGCCATAGTATTTTCATCCGAAAAGATTCCAGTTGAATCTATACTAATATATTTTATAACCAATATCCAAAAATTGAACATCACAAACATCTATAGAAAGTTACGTTATCAGTGAGTTTATAGTCTATATTTCTTTTTTTTATTAAATTTTATTAACTAAAATTATACAGTGTTACGAGCTTGAGGTTCGTGACAATAAAAACTGCCGATTGAATTACCAAAATTTACACTTTATTACCAAACTTCACTTTTATTACGGCTACTGAAGAGCCTGGTGGCTGGTGGTGGCCCTCCGACGTCTGCGGCGTTGCACCACCAAATCTTCTTTGGTCCGTCTCCTGCTGGCGTTGCCTTCGGGTACGGACACCCTCCGTTTCCTCCTTAGGTAAAATCGGCATGATTTTATCCCACTTCTGACACCAATTGTTACGAGCTTGAGGTTCGTGACAATAAAAACTGCCGATTGAATTACCAAAATTTACACTTTTATTACCGAACACCAATTAAAACTTAAAAGACACTAATAATTAATCACACTGATTCACTTTATTTCGCTCCGAAGCTTCGCTTGTCTCGCCAAATTCAATACTGCCTCGATCGCGTCTTGCAGCGCCTTTAAATACACATTTTTCACCGAAACATCCAGAATATTCAAGTAAATACGGGCGCCAACCGACCAGGCGCAGAAAGTTCGTGTGTGGGGCTTCTAGAAAGCTTAATTCTTCCGTTAGATACTAGATGGCGCTGTTGGTCGAAAGTCAAGATTGACATTTTCTGGGTAGCCCTCTTCACTCCGGTCCCCGACACTAGATGGCGCTAGTGCCAGGTATCTGACGTCAACTTAGGCGCGCAACACTGCCCCCTCCTAAGACATGCTCGTCCCGAGCATTATCGGCCCTATAATAACGCGCCAGGCGATCCAGGACGATCATCCGGTAGGTTGCATCGTTGATCCTGGTCACAATCCGGTACGGGCCGTCCCATTTAGCTTGAAGCTTACGAGATTTCCCTTTGCTGCGGACTGGATTGTGCAACCACACTAGTGAACCTTCGTCGAACCCTTTTTGTTGTTCATTTTGCGGTCATACCGGGTTTTCATCTTTTCGGACATTTGCTGGCCCGATTGTCTGACGTGCTCATAAATGTCATTCATTTTGTTCCGCAAGTCATTTGCATAATCGGTTATACTGCGTCACGCATCCAGATGCGCCCATCAGGTCGTACCCCGGTGATCAGGTCTGCAGGCAGCCGTAATTCTCTTCCAAAGTTTGCGAAAGCTGGTGTCACTGCTGTACTTTCGTGAACAGCGCTTCGATATGACAACAAAAACGGTTGTATGTGCTTGTCCCAATCTCGTTGCCGATTGTCTACAACTTTTGCTAGGTACCTCTCCAATGTCTGATTAAATCGTTCGACCATGCCACCAGATTGCGGGTGATAACAAGGCGTTCTTGTTTTATAAGTACCCATAACACGGCAAGTTTCCTGGAATATTTGAGACTCAAAATTCCTTTCTTGATCGCTGTGAATCTCTAAAGGTACTTCAAAACGACAGAAGACTTCATGAACTAGTTTATCTTTGCAACTGTTGAAGCTTCTTGATTTGGAATGGCGAAGACTTTTGGCCAAGTAATTCATCACAACCATGAAATACTTGTTACCGCTTTCAAATCTCCGGAAACGGCCCCGCCACGTCAATGGCTATTCTCTCCCATGGTGCATCAACACCTCTACTACGAGTCTGAGGTCCCTTTACAGCCGCACAACTTGTACATTTGCGACACCAGTCCTCGACATCGCTTCAACAGTGGACCCAGTAAAACCGTTCTCGGATCTTCAGTAGAGTTCGTTTAACTCCCAGATGGCCTACTGAACAATCATTATGGTACAGCTGTAGAACATCCGGTACTTTAGCTTTAGGGACAACCATTTGCAAATGACAGCTGTCTACCCGAACATTTTCCCATTTACGGCACAGGACTCCATCCTGAATCAGCAAGCTGTCCCACTGGGCCCAATAGCTTTTATTGGTCGAACTCATCGCTGAGACGTCGCTCCACTTGGGCTTGGGAGCACTGGCATTCCATTGCAGAATCGGCTTGATGTCCGGATCTTCCTGCTGTGCATGTCGTAAGCTGTCCTTCCACTCGTTGCTGAGGTGGTCTGTCCTGAGCATTCCTCATGGATACCACTTCCTTACTCTCTTGCCTAGTACAATGTTTGCAATCGTCAGGACAAGGTCTTCTTAACAATGCATCTTCGTTGCCATGAGATTTCCCGCTGCGATGTTCGATCTCAAAGTCGTATTCCTGCAGTAGTTCAATCCACCTCGCAACTTGTCCTTCTGGATTTTTAAACACCAATAGCCATTTTAGTGCAGTATGGTCATTTCGTAAGTGAAATTTCCGCCCCAGAAGATATTTGCTAAAATGCTGCAACGACTTTACCACAGCTAGCAATTCGCGTCTTGTGACACAATAGTTCCTTTCCGGTTTTGACAACGACTTGCTGAAGTACGCTATCACGACCTCTTGGTCACCATTCCGTTGAGACAACACACCGCCAAGTCCTATATCATTTGCGTCGGTATCAGCTATAAATTCTTTGCTTGCATCAGGGTATCCCAAAATAGGTGTTTCGCACGGTCCTTGAGCTCCTGGAATGCGATATTGCAACTTTCATCCCAGCAGAAAAGTCGCTTCTCTAGCTAGCTAGCTTGTGCAGAGGTTTGGCTATATCTGCAAAGTTCTTCACAAATCGCCGATAATAGGAGCACAAACCCAAAACTGCTCTAACCTGCGTCTTGTCTTTTGGAACCGGCCAATCCTTGACAACGAGTTTTCTCCGGATCCGTGCGGATACCTTTTTTCGACACTACATACGCCAAAAAGTTGACTTGCCGTTTGAATAGTGAACATTTCTTCGGACTCAACTTGAGGTTGGCACTCTGAATCTTCATGAGCACGCGTTCCAGGTTTTGAAGGTGTTCCTCAAACGTACGGCCCACGATGATGATGTCATCCAAGTAGACCAGACAGGCATCGCCAATTAGCCCGGTAAGTACAAGCTCCATCAGCTTTCAAACGTTGCTGGAGCATTGCACAATCAAAACGGCATTACTTTAAATTGCCACAGACCCTTTCCCGTCGAGAACACAGTTTTCTCCTTGTCCTTAGGGTCAATTTCAACTTGCCAGTAGCCACTTTTTAGATCCAGCGTGCTAACCACTTTACTCCTGTAAGCATGTCCAGCGTGTCATCAATTCTTGGCAAGGGATAGCTGTCCTTCTTTGTAACGCCGTTCAGACGGCGGTAGTCAACACCGAACCGCATGATGCGTCCTTCTTCTTTACCACCACCACGGGTGAACACCATGGACTAGATGAAGGTTCAATAACACCATCTTTCACCATTCCCTCAATCATGGTTTCCACTTCCTTTTCACGTGCTACCGGCAATCTTCTTGGCCGCTGATGGATAGGCAATTCTTCCCCTGTGTTTATTTTGTGTTGAACTAAGCCAGTCTTTCCCATGTCAGCATCGTTTGATGAGAATACATCGGCATACTTGAGTAACAACTTCTTCACCTTCACCATTTCGTTCGGGGAGAGAACGCAGTCTTCCAAAACTGTGGTCACTCTGGTTTGTGAATCCTTACTGGGGGTCCCACTCGATAAATATTGGCACCGACGTAACCAATCCACTTCCTCACAAGTACCAACCAGTGTGCCTTTTTCTATAATCTGTTCCTGGTCACAAATCAGTGGTTCTGGCCAAGGTTCGAGCTACTTTCCATGGAAGGTCATTGTTTACCCTTTCCACAAGTACACAACGGTGAGTTTGCCCAGGGTTCCGACGAAGACTAACCGACACAATCGTTTCCGATCTCGGCGGAAGAACAATCTTCTTAATGCTGTACACGTTCCCTGGTAACGCACTTTCCATAAAAAGTT